CGTGCTTCCCTCAAAGAAAATCAAACCCTAATTCCGAAATTAACGTTGAAGGCAGATTCATGCATCTGTAGTACTTTAGTACCCCACAAAATGCACATCTGTATGGATTCCTTGTATTAAGTTCCTCTCTTATAAACTCATTTATATAGATGGGACAAAATTGTGCTCTACATCTCACTTTTCCTTCCTGTTCTTTAATTCCTTATTCTGTTAAGTAGCTTTATCCTACATTTCCAAGTTTTAAGGAGATACGTAAGTAGTTGTTTGAGTTTCTTACAGCTGGCCTGAAGTTTTTTGGTTACTATATACCTTGAATCCGACAATGAATATTGAGTTATCAACTATTTAGTTTTGTCTGAATTAACTATCTTCTTAACGTGGCATTCATTTGAAAATTTGATTCTTTTTTTTTTTTTTTTAACAATAAAGACACCAAGGTAATCATTCTGGATAATACGAGAGAGGTTTAGTGGAGGAGAAATCAGGGAGGATGTATCAAGAAGCAAACTATGGCCAAATGCAGTCAGTCAATCAAAAGAGTTTGCTGCCCAGCAAAGTGCTTTGTCCTAGAATTGAACTTGTGTTCTCTTGCATTGAACTTGTCCTAGAATTGATCAGCAGAGACAGATTGCAGAGCTTAGAGCGCATGTGATGCGGCTGTCCGGTGAGCCCGGTGATAGTACTTCTTCCTCTGATCTTGCGCCTGCTGCAGACCGAAATGTTTCGACGTCTCAGCAGCAGCCACTACCGGCTCCTGATCCCGATGCTGCAGACGATACCTTGGTCACCCCTCCTGGTGCTACATCACATCCAGCAGGTAACCCCTCCTGGTGCTAAACATCACATCCAGCAGGTACTCTCCGGCGATCCGACATCGGGAGATTCTGACATCGAATCCTGCAGATGAGCAGCAAACGTAGATTTTGATTTTAGTCCTTTTTAGTTTTTCATTTGTATTTTGATATTTTGTTCAGTACATAAAAAAATACATTTTTTATATTGTTCTGAATTGCGTGTGTGATATATATTAATATATGTCCTTGCGTGTGTGATATATATGTATATATGTCAATTTTCACAGGTGCGAAAAAATTATGGTTTTATAATAATATTTAATTTTTTTTTTCACTTTTGCGACCGATTTACGACCTATTTGATACCAAAAAATAAAATTTTAAATTTATTTTTTGCGACCGATTTGCGACCTATTTTAAAAATTGCGACAGATTTTTCTGCGACCAAATTTACGACAGAGTTTCCAAATCAACCACGACCAAAAATTGCGACCGATTATTCAAATTTGAGACCGATTATATCGGTCGCTCATTTGCGACCGATGACTTCGTCAGTCGCAAAAAACTTTTGCAACCAGGTAGTTTGTGACCGATATCTGTCGGTCGCTAAGTGAAATTAGCGACCGATATGTGCCATTTTGTGACCGATTTATCGGTCGCAAAATAACGTTTTTTTTGTAGTGCAGTAACTCTTAGTGACATTTGACCGATCTAGCTAGAAGCATAATACGTAATTTTTGGGTAGCATTTGGTACTTTGACTAGAGTTATCTTGACAAAATTAGTTATTTATATAGTTGTTTTATCAACATTTCATCTAATGTTGAATGGAGTAATGTTTTATAATCCATTTCTTCAAATTCTAAATACCAGTATAAATATTACGCCGCCGAATACCAAATAATAAGTTGACTATGTCAACATAATAAACATTATTGCCGAACAAAGCTAACTAGATTAAAACACTATATCTATATTTTATAGTGATCAATGACATATATTTATATTAGTGTTTAGAATTTGAATGAACTGACTATTCAATATTATTCCTTGTAATATTTAGTGAAACACTAATAAAATAACTGACAATTTTAGCACACTAAGGTATAACCTAATGATAAATGCATATACAACATGACATTTTTAAGACAGCTAAAAAATAAATAATTTTGCCAAAACAAACCATAATCCATGCCGGACTTGCACCTTTAATTGATATTTATTGCCAATTCTAACGCTCTAAAGAAATGGTGATAATTTTCTTTGATAATGTGACATTATCCAAATATATATAAAGTTTTTTAATTGTTTAATTCTTCAGTACTGATTCTTTCTATATGTATAAAAATGTGATAAAAAGATATATTTTTTTAAAAAAAAATAATGCCACAAATTCTTTCATTCAAATCTTGCAACAAACTCAATTAATGTGCAACTATGGTTACGTTGACCTCAAGTAGTCTTTAATGACTTATTGTTAAACAATATATATAGCATTTATGACTAAGAAATTAATAGTGTAAGCAGGAATGCATGCATGTCAAAATTCTGTGTCATTAATATAAATCTTTTTAAATAATTAATGAAATTTTTTCGATCTTTCCATTATACTATATCAATTCCATAACACTCGTCACATTTAAAAAATAATTTATTCTGAAATACTTCTTCTGGTTCAAAATATAAGTCGTTATATAAATCATTTTGAGTATTTTAAGGAGTAATAACTGATATTTTTTTAATATTACCCTTGTTTATATTAGATACAATAAATACTTTCACAAGTAACTACTGGTTTTGAAATAAAAGATAATTTGGTCAAATTACCCTTGGGTTTATTTTAATCTAGGAGAATTAATTGATTTCTTAATTGCTGTGCAAAAATTTTAAATGATTTATATTTTAGGACAGAGAGAGTACTTATCACATTTATAGTTTCAAAGAGTAATAAATTTTTTTTTCCATGTTTACGCTTGTATATGACCAATAATTCTTTGATGTTTAGATATAGGAGCATTGAATTAAAGGTATATAATATAGTCGATTTACTCAATAATTTATTTTAATTTAGACAAATTTAATTATTTTCTTAAAAGTACGTGAAATTTTAAATGTGACAAGTAGTATGGAACACACGTAATATATATTAAATACATTAACTATTAATAATGTGAAATAAATAGTAATTTAATCAAATTAATAAATATTTTATGACTCCATAGAAAAATTAAGCACTTCTTTAATCACGATAGAAAAATATTAAATCACTAATATTTATAAGGGATTGAGGAAGTACTAAAAATTATTAAATCAACCTCTTATAAATAAAATAAACAAAAAAATTTTTGAATAATTTTTATCAACCATGGTTTAGTCAGCTACTCGTTTTGTTATTAATAAAACCATTAATATTCAGCAAGTCTAAGTCAAAACGTTATGACATTAATTAATTAATTATGATATCATCTCTGAAACTTGTAGTTAGAAATATGACGAAAAAAACATTTAGAAATAAAAATGAGTAGTGCTACTATTAATTAATTATGATATCATGCGCTTTTATCTCTCATTTTAAAAGATTAAAAAAAATACTATTAATTATTTTTTAAAAAAATTTACCTTTATTTTTATTTAATACATTAATTATTTTTTCTAATTTCTTTAAACTCATATTACCGCCTTCCTCTTTTCCACTGGCAGATTAATAAAGAAGTTATATAATTTAATTATTTTCTTAATCACGGGACCAAATTTTTGAACCACAACGATTCATATGATTTCAGAAAGGAAAAAGAAATTTCAAGAAACGTTTTCTAAATAAAACCGTTTGGAATACGTAAAAGTAGGTGGTTCACGGTTTAATCTGCAGCCACCAATTAATATACGTGACATATGCTAATTTAAACCAAAAAAAAAAAAAGAGTAGGGACACAGAACTCATCCAGCAACTGGGGACTATAGTAGGGTAGTTGTTGGCTGCATAGCAGCCCACAGATAACACTAGCAGTCTAAGTTCAATGCTTCAGTACGTATGAATAACAGGCAAAACAATTTCGATTGAGACAACTCTTTTTATGCAAAAGCATGTTTGCACGCGTCAACGAGTCAATTTGGTTTTCATTGATTAGATTAGATCAGTACCTTCCACTGTATGTTTGTGTATACCTATATATTATTATTTTTGAAATTAAATCGGATCGGTGACTCACTGAATCATGACTTGACCAACTGAATTGAACTTAAAAAAATATATATACGTTCAAGTAACTTTTTGAAAAAAAAAAATTATATTATTGAAAAAAATCTAAAAATTTGCTTGTATTGTATGTTTTGCTATCAAAGCCAAAATTTTTAGACTTCACTTCTACGCTTGAACCATTTGTCTATTTTAATTTAGATATTTAAAGATTTTTCCCATTGACTTTAAATTCATACTAAGCTCTAAATTTCATTAAATCAAATTGAAATAGAACTGTTTGATTTAGTTTATTTTCGGTATCTATAAAATGATCATTTTAGCATGATCCTTATTTATATAATTTGAAAGAGGAGAACCAATTATGTAGCATCTACTTCAAGAGTTGAAGTATTTTATAAATCTTTTATAAAAGCTACCCGTATTAACAGGATAAAACCAAAATTTAAATAGAAGGGAGCAAATCGTATGGCACACAAGTTAAGGGGGTCAAAAATGGCATGAGTGCTTTGAAAATAACCAAAAACAAGGTTCTCACACCTTGAATTTGTACAACAATTTTAACTTTTTTCTTTTTTTTTTTTTTTTTTAAATGAATTTGTACAACAAATTTTCACTTTTTTTCTTTTTTTTTTTTTTTAAAGAGAAAGGGGTACAGTTACCCATGTTACCCTACACCTAGCTTCGTCCTTTGTAATAGATAGCAGCTAATTTTGCGTTTAAACCAGATGAACAGGCCAATCCTTGTTCCATTTAAAAAAAAAAAAAAAAAAAAAAAAAAAAAATCCTACTGTTATATCCATTTATAAAGCAAAAAAAAAAAAAAAAAAAAAAAAAAACTCCTACTGTATATCCATTTATAAAGCAAGAGAGAAAGAGAGCGCACTGCTAGCTGTCAGGACGGAGCCTGTGGTGGATACGGTTTGGGCCGTGTTTGGCTTCTTTTTTATACTACAGAACTACAAATATAGAAATATTTATATATATACACACACACACATTTGCACCTCTCTTTTGGTCTTAAAGGTGGTAGGGCATGTTATGTCTAGTAACAAACAAAGCATACCATGTGAAAGTTCAACAAGTCCTTCACCTGATGTGTTCCTTAATATTCTTCAATAACCTCTCAATATTCACCATCTCATTCTCACCTTCATATCACATATCCATTTCTTTATAGCAGCTAGGTTTAGAAGCTCCTATATATACCCAAGTAACAGAGACATACATTTCAAGCCAAAGTAAATCATTCCAAACAAAATTAGCTAGACTTATCATTTTCCTGAAATGGGTATTCAACTGATGGGGATAGCTCATGCCAAACAAAAGCTTCAACGCAGTCTTTCAGCGAAAATCGCAAGCGTTTTGGCTACTAGTAGTAATAGTGTTCCTAAAGGCCACATTGCTGTTTACGTTGGAGATGGGTATAGAAAGAGATTTGTAATTCCAATATCGTTTTTGAACCATCCTTTGTTCTTGGATTTGCTTCATAAAGCAGAAGAAGAGTTTGGATTTGATCATCCAATGGGCGGTCTTACGTTACCTTGCACTGAAGAGTATTTCATTACTCTAACTTCAGTTTTAAGTTCATAAACAAACAATTTGAGACGACTAAGTCTGTCTCATTTTTTGTTTTTCTTCATCTTATTCTTCTTGGATAAATTAATTAGTTCAGTTTCATTTAGATGTTATATATGATTTGTAAATTATCAATTGTTTCTGTTGTAGAATTTTTGATAAGAACTTGTTTTTTATTACTATAAAAATTCAAACTTTTACCAAGCATATATATAATCTTTTACCTTCTTGTGTGTGTGTGTCCGCGTACACGCAAATATTTTGGCGTATGATTTCATAATCTGAAGTACGTCGGCTGGCTTATGATCAGGTTATTGACACAAAAATGGAGCAGAAAACATTTATTTTGTAAACATTGTTTTACATATTTTGATATTTAAGGTTGTTATATCTAATTGATCAACTACGACATTGAAATTTGTAATTCTGGACAGTAAGTAGTTTTTATACATTAGAAAATTTAAAAGTTGTACACTGTTAGTGTTTAAATTTCTCATGCGTTCTACTACATTTAGCGTATATGTCACCCATATATCAAGTTAATTCAACAAAAGTATTTGGTACGATAAGGCAGGGAAAAATATAAAATAATAAATAAATTATGAAATTTTATTTTCAAATAATATTAACTATTTATTTAGTATATGGGTGATGTTGATGAAGGTAAGTACATGTGCCAAGTATTTTTGAATTAAAGAATATATATGCTTCTTAACACATGATATAGATACCGCTTGCCAGAAGCACAGTCCAATAGGTAGGTAGCACATGTTTTGAAATTTAAATTTGGGCTGAATCTATAGTCAGTGGCGGGCCAACGATTCTATTCTTGTGTAGAAATGGAAATGGGACAGGTATTTAGATTACCATTCCGCTCCAATCCGTTCAACTAAAATAAAATAGTTATACGTGAGTTTGAGATAAATATAAATAATGAAATTATTACTTGCAATGGATATATTAAGGTATGGGTATAAGACTCTGTATACCCGTTATAATAAACGATTTGAATATGGGTATCTATATATACCCTATCCATTTTTTAATAAAAATATATATTTATTAAACGAATTTGGATTGTGATAATTTATAATTTATGGATGTCTATCCATTGGGTTTGAGACGGATAAAATTTTAAAAAGATGCGGATACTGATAGTTCAAAATTTTCGGGTATTCGCGCTATTTTTATCTCTAGTCTTGTGGCTAGTAAAAGCCGAATCAGATTGACTAGGCCGGTCGGATCTAGATTTTGATTATGGTCGACGCTGCTTTTCAATTAAATACTGGCCATAATATTTTGTTGTTTCTAGAAAACGGAATTTGAAACCAAAATTAGTGGTTTTGACCAATTTGATCGGTTTTTAATTGTTTAGATCGGTTCCTGCCTTCCTGGTGAAATATAAAGTCGGTTCGTTTGAAGAGTAATAGTCTACTTGTCTAATTAAAAATTATGGGTCCATGATTTTAGTGTCAATAAAGTCAAAAAAAAATATCATTTTCTTCAATTTTAAGCTTCTTTTTGACGTACGAGACCCATCTTCAAGAAAAAGAATATACATATATCCTAAACTCTTGTTGTTCATAACAGTAACAGCAGTCGCATCTCGAGTGAATTTCAAATTCTTTCTTTATCTATTAATTAAAATATTTAAATCTTTGTTTAATTAATTAAAATTAGGGTTAAATTGAAACTCCATAATCATATTTGGTAGAGAAAAAATAATCTGTAAAAATATCCTAACATCTCAAATATGACATAATTTTTTTTATTAAACAATTTTTTAAAACACAAATTTTAATACTTGAATAGATTATTATTTTAAAATAAATTTCATAACTAAGTGGTATAATTATTCTTTTCACTTATATAAGAAATAAAATCTCAACTTTGAGACCTCTCCTTTACAATAATTTTTACCAATTTGGTAAGTGAGGGAAATGATTACCACTTTTTGTATAGTCCAATATATTTTTTTAGCTCATTAAACCTCCTATCGAATAAATAAATAAATACATAAATTTCATTGCAAACGAAATGTGATTTATCATTAAAATAGATGTCAAATGGAAACGTGAATAAAAGAAATTCATAAAGCTTACTTTTGAAAGTACCATATGATAAATTTGGTATTATTATAATTTACTTTTTATCAGGCCAAAAATAAAGTTGCTATTATTATTATTATCATCATCAAAATCTATAAAATGAACATTTATGAACAAAAAAAAAAGTAAATCAAATTAAGAAAGCATAAAAAAAAAAAACACAAATTAAAGAGTAAGTCAACTATAAGAAGTGTTTGGATGAGAAATGACAATGACAAAATCATGCTTAGGACATGGAATTGTGAGACCAAAAATTAGATCATTGAAACCCAAATCTTCTTCAGGTTGACATGACAATTTCTGAAATGGATGCTTCAAAAGGAAGTTGGAACTTCAAATTGCTTCTTCTATTTCTGTCCAACATAAATCACAAAATGCCTTTGGGAATTGGGAACCGGATGGTTGTTGCAAATATTGATGTTTTAGACTTTGTGTTGATAACTCCTTAATACTACCCATATTCCAATGACACCGCTATTCTTGTTTTCAATTAACCTTTAACATTGACTACGTACTATATCAAGGATAAGATCATAAGACATATATATCCTGTGTGCATGGAAACAAAAAGTTTTAATTTGATGACTGTGAATTCAAGAAAGCTAAATATGATTTTTTTTTATACTACCAATACTTCCCAATTGACACCGCATCTTGTTTTTCAATAACCGTGTTAACATTGACTAGCGTACTATATCAAGGATAAGATCAGTAAGACATATATATCCTGTCGTGGCATGGTGAAACAAAAGTTTTAATTTGATGACTGTGAAATTCGAAAGAAAGCTATAATATGGATTTTTTTTTTTATGTTTTTTTGTTGGGGGGGGGGGGGGCTAAAAAATGACAGGATATATACTATTTGATAGTATATATTAATACACAAAATTTACATAGCAGAGCTATAGTCTGAGCCAGGTTAGTGGAGATTTTTTCTTCTTGTTCCCTTAAAGAAAATGATAAGATAACGGAGGACATGGATGCGTGCACGCAGCAAGCAACTTGTCTTGTCTTCACTGACCCTACTTGAGGTGTAAGTCCCACAATAGGAGGAATATCAAAATATATATACACAAAATATACAAGCACAGAGGTATATCTACGCAGTTAGTGGATATTTTTTCTTCTTTTTTCTCCTAAAGAAAAATGATAAGATAACTTAGGACATTGATCGTTGCACGGCAGCAAGCAACTTGTACTTTGTCCTTCACGACCCAACTTGGGTGTGTAAGGTCCCACAATAGGAAATTATCAAAACACTGCTAAAAATAGAATATAAACTAACTGGTCACAAATATAATAAAATTCTTCTAGACTCTATGGGCTTTTTAGCATTTTCTTGGCGCCAACTTGCTGATTTTATTGGCTGCTAGATCCGGAAAACCATCGCACATCTAGCTGCAGAATTTCTAAAACTCTGAACTTGATAATATATATATATACATATATCTTGATTCTTGAATCTTGATAAGGAATTTTACAAGTCTATGTCTATCTCTCAATCTTGACATCAGCATATCAAAACGCACGTGCATCTGCTTATCCCATTATTATCACCTAGGAGTCAATATTGCAGGTACATGCATGAGAACCGTAATTATTATAATTGGAACTCAGAGTAAATAGCAACTATATATGTATATACATGTAGGCATTTTGAGGGTTAGTAATAATCTAAACAGTAATGCATGTGCTTGAATTATTGCCCCAGAAAAATGGTACTAACAAAATATATGTAACATAACATTTGCTGCAACAAAACATTGATTTAAGATATTATAATTTATGAAACCCAATATCATAACACCTATGTCCAAACCCCAGCTAGATTGACGGTTTCACTTGTAGTTGTGGTATTGTAGTAATTAGCAATCTCCACATGCTGAGTAATTGATCGCCTCAAGGAATGTAAATCAGCCAAGCTCAAACCTATTTGCATGAAGCTGGACTTGATAGAATTTAGTTGAATTTGAACTTGACTTGAGGTTTAAGTTTAACTTGTAAAATCTAGTTTGGCTCAAGGTTCATAAAGCCTAAAATAGATTGATAAAGCTAAATGATATTTCAAGCTCATTCAAATCTAATTTTTTTAAACTTTTTTAAAGTTGAGATTCAGCAACTTGCAAACCTGTTCAACTCGTTTACACTCTATTTGATCTCTTATGATATACTAGTATCTCCACATGCAGTAATTGTTGGCCGTCACTTGATCCAGCTACCTGTGTACGGCCATCTGTTTTGGAGATAACATTAATTCTAGACTTAAAACATAGCCCATGTGCACAAATCCTAACAAGCTAACAGCCAATCTGCTGACGACAATACCCCCCACCGCTTTCCCAACTGGTAAGTATGGCACTCCACTCCACAAACCTCTAAAACCCTATAAATACAAACCAACACAATAGCCAAATCCAAAAAACCCAACTTCCTCTCACTATTCGAAAGACTTGGATTAAAGTTTTCATCTTTTTGACCATCTAAATAATGGGTATTCGCTTGCGATCAATGTTTCCTAGTGTAAAGCAAATACTTCAAGGGAAATATGTTCTTTCAAGAAATGATCAATCGGAGGTGCCAAGAGGACACCTTGCTGTTTACGTTGGAGAGCAGCAGAAGAAGCGATTTGTAGTACCAATATCTTACTTACGTCACCCTTCTTTTCAAGATTTACTTAAACGAGCTGAGGAAGAGTTTGGCTTTGATCATCCAATGGGTGGGCTTACAATTCCTTGCAAAGAAGATGCCTTCCTTGATCTAACTTCTAATTTACTTGCATCGTCATAAAGAGGAAGAGTTTTGTATATGTACTGAAACAAATTTCAGTGTCTGATCTCAGTTTTGTATTATCTTTCATTTTTGGTAGAAAGATAATTATTGGTTTAATTAGTATAATTAATTATATTCGACACTACAGCTTTTTATAAGCTTCGGCAATTCTATTTGCTCAATGCTTGTCCTATAAAAGGAGCTACAAAGGAAGAAAAGGCATTTCTAATAAACCAAATAAAAGATAGTACTACAAGTACAAGCAATATGCAAAATTTGTTTTTTTGGATGGATACTCCATTAAGTAGGATGTTCATCAAACTAAGAAGCATTAACTTGAAGACGATGATTTTGATGTTAAAACTGGATCTTATTAGCTGATATGGACTAGCTCTAAGATATGAATATTATCTCTTTTTTTGTTCGGTATAAACAATCAGTTTTATATCAAACTCCGCTCTTCGCCTCTTTCTGCAAGTGTGTTTAGTGGCGATAAAATCTAAGAATTCTTTCTAAGTGACCTGGTACATTGCCAATTGAACCTTAAGTCCTAGGTATGAATATCATCTCTTTGATTAACAAAAATATCTTACATAATAAACACAATCCTAAACCACATTCCAAAGCCGTAAAGTCCATTGGATATCTTACGACAAGAATTGTTAACCCATAATAAAAGGATATGCAATTTCAATTAGAGTTTCTAATTTCAAGCCCAAACTAGCACACCAATTCTATCCTGTACATTTTCAAAAAAGAAATTTAATAAAAAAATAATTTTTAAAAATTGAAAAAAAAAAAAGAAAGCAAATATAATGGACATTTTACTGAAACAAACAATGAAACCTTTTTTTTTTTTTTTTTTGCTTGAAAAAGAAAAAAAAAAAGAAAGCAATATAATGGACATTTTACCTGAAACAAACAATGAAACCTTTTTTTTTTTTTTTTTGCTAGAGATACTATTTGGACGGAGCGATATATACTTACACTGCTATAATATAGACCCTTTTTTTTTTTTTTTTTGCTAGAGATACTATGGACGGAGCTATATATATTACACTGCTATAATTATAGTAGACTTAAACTCAATACATCGACTCACTACAAGTTAATGGTCGGTCCAAGCCCATTGAGGGCAAACCATAATGGGTACAAAATACTTTATTATTGAAAATTGGGAGGGGGAATAGGACCTAACACCTTTTGATCCTAGGGCATCACTCCTTGATATTAGGCTAAGGAATCATTTGCAACAAACAATGGATTTTAGCATTTAATTTTTTTATTTTTAGGATAATAGGAGGCAAAATTAATTATTTTAAAAGTTGTTAATTGTTTTAGTAACTGTCAGTTATTTTATTAATATTTCATCAAATATTAAAATGAGTAACTTTCTATAATTCACTCTATCAAACACTATATACTAGTATTAATGCTATGACCGAACACTATAAATAATAAAAAAAGTCAAAACACTAAAAGTTATGTCAAAAATTACTGCTAAACATGACTAATATCTAGAATTGACTTTTTATTTTGATTCATGTACTTCTCAAACCATTATTAAATTATTCTACAATAATTTCTGTACACATAAATCCTTTTTTTTATGGCAGCTACGAATAGGTCTGCCCCTGGGTAAGATTGTATTACAGGTTAATCTTCACAACTTATACTCAACCCATTCCTCTACCCAATTAAAGCTAAAGGATTTATATTAAATTAGAAAATTTATAAAAAAATAAATAAAATACATCATAATTTAAATCCTTGACTAATGAAGGAAGTAAGCATATTTACTTATCAACTCCAAGAAGCCTTCATTAACTGCAATAAAACAAGCTTAGCACCTACTTTTTGAAAATCATAAAAGATTGACTCCATTCGATTCAGGCTGAAGTCAGAAGACATTAATGTGTTCATATTGAGACAAAGACTCATCCAATGTACTGTGTATTGCCTGCATTGAAGAACAGCATCACAAGGATTTGCTTGTACATGTAGTAACCAAGCTTAGCATACCACAAGCTTTGTTCTTATAATATATAGTTTCTGTTTAGGGTTTTTATTTGGGTTAATGAAACATGTAGGGTTGGTAATATATGGTTATTGTTTCTTTGTGGACCCTTAACTATTTATTCTAACTATTATCTACAGGAAAATGTTGGAGCAAGTAGTTAATTAGTTCTTGCACAAGACTTGCTACTACATAGAAGTCATCATATAGATAATAGTTAAAAAGATGCTATTTTGCACGAAATATCCAAATTATGAATGAAATTATAAATTAGAGGCCTTATAATTAGATTTTGAAAATAAAAGTCATCATATGTTAAGTTGACTATAACTAAAGGATCAATTTATATTTTTCCTTTCCCACAAAACAAAAGTTGTTTCAAATAACTTTCTTTTGATCTTCATTCCAAAATGAAATAGAAAACTCAATATGAGACAAAGGATATATTTTTAAGTCTTTAGTCCCTCAAATATCATATTTTTTTAATAAATAGTTAAGTATAAAGGTTATCTCAATTGTTAAATAGTTTATTCCATTAGGATTCAAATTACTACAACTTCTAGCTACATGATTTGCATATGCATATGAAACAAAATGGAGCCAACAAGTTTATGAAGTAGGAATAATACCATCATATACTAACTAGAGGATCCAAAGGGTCCCACAATAGATACTACCACCACCTATAAAAATCTCTTCTAACTGATGTTTATGGTTATTGTGATGAGTTAGTTACTTCCAGATCCAAGAATATATATATATATATATAGAGAGAGAGAGAGAGAGGCTGTTGTTCAATGTATTTGCCCATACCAATATAACTATTAGTCATGTGCTTACCATATCATTCTATCCTAAATGGAGGCATATATAAAGTACTTGTTTGTAATGCAACTTCACATGTTCCTTTTTTTTTTTTTTTTTTTTTTTATTGTTTGAATGAGTTAAGTTTTTACTTTCCCCAAGATCCCAAAGAATATATATAATATAATATATAGAGAGAGAAAGAGAGAGAGGCCTGGGTTTTGGTTTCAATGTATTTTTGCCCAATACCAATTAATAAACCTATTAGGTCATGTGGCTTTACCCATATCAATTCTATCCCTAAATGGAGGCCAATATATTAAAAGTACTTTTGGTTTTTCAGTTTACATGCAACTTCAACATGTTTTCTTTTTTTTATTTTTTTTTTTTTTTTTGAAGGTTTTTTTTTTTAATTTGGGAATTAGGTGGGCAAACGTGGGCCCCCCTTTTCAAAATTATTATGAAAAAATGCAAATTTGGAAACCCTTTAGACAGGAAGATAATTAATTTTGTCATTTTAGATTTTTTCGGAATTGGGTATTAATTTTTAAAAGTAATTTTTTTATATCCTTTCCCCAAATGCCCTAAATCACATATCTCAAACTGCTTTGAATTTTTTTCCTTTCCTTTTGAATCACCCTTCATCATTTTCACATTTGCGACCCTACCCTGCCATTCTACTAGAAGAATCAAATTGGGCATTTTTGGTAGGGAAATATTTTTGAAGCCTGATTTTTCCTTGTATACATGTACTCTTCTTTTTAACCCTCCAATTATTCACAAAATGTTCCCTTTCCTCCTGAACCGGATGGAAAAAGCCACAAGTTTTTTTTTTTCATGCCCCAAAAAAGCAACCAACCCAACTGGCTGTTTTATGGGCCAAAAAGGCAAATCTTATTATTTTGGGCCTCCGACAACTGCCCCCTTTATTAAATTGGCAGCTAGACTGCTTCAACTATAGGTCAACGGTTTTCAAATTGGGTTTTTTCCTTTCTTTAAATTGTTAAAAAGTAAAACCGGTTCCCAGATTGGTGAGTTTGTTTACCAGTTTTTTTCCCGAGTTGACCCTGACCGGGTCAGAAATCCAAGGTTAAATACCCTACGCCAAAAAGCAAACAAAAATTTTTTTTTTTATTTTTTAATTGGTTTTAAACAAAAAAAAAAAAAAAAAAAAAAAAAAAAACACATTTAGAAACAATTTATTAATTAGATAGCAAAAGTTATAAACCCCCCTGAATATCACTACCCAAAATGCCCAATGATTTTCCCTGAAAACAATGTGTTTTTAAAAAAAAAAAAAAAAAAAAAAAAAAAAAAAAAAAAAAAACACATTTAGACAATTATTAATTAGATAGCAAGTTATAAACCTGATATGCACTACCAAATGCCATGACTTTCTGATGTGTTCAGATGGGAAAACAGATACAATTCAAGCCTTGAATCACATTATTTTATAATTCAAACATTAAATAATAAAACTGAAAAATTATTCCAGTTGTATCAATAATTTGTTAGCTAATCACAATCATTGTAGTATCCCAGCCTGATGTCCTTCGTTATTAAAAAGTTTATCTATTTAAACACTTAACAATTAAAAAAATTCTGACAAAATCAACAAATTAAAAAGTCCATACATATCCAACAATATAATTTTCCTATATATATAATTTTCCCAAGTTAGTCTTGGTATGCAGTGATATAATTCCTAAATTTACCTGCATGGCTAGACCTTGTCCTGTTGCCACCATCATGAGAAGACTCAAGTAGATGAGTTGAATCAATTTGCGGTTCAATCAGCGAAAATAAATTACATCTCTGAGAAAACTTTATTTATCTATAAAGTTAGAGGTTGTACAGGAAAACTTTACCTAAACATCTTCAAAACACTTATGCTAAACAAACAGAAAAAATCACATTGTGCTATTTCTTATAAATTTCAAGCCAAACCTCCTATATGAAATACTGAAGTGGCTTTAAAATTATTTTTTAAGAAAAAAAACTGAAAATAGAACATAGGTCCCATTTCATAAATCTCATCCTAGTCACAATAAGATTGGTGTGCATATGGGAGAAAGAGTGTGTGAGATGCTTATATATGTTTGATTGATGATGTTACATTGTTACTGAGGGAGTCCTGTTTTGAAGCATTAGAAAGGACACACAGGCTGAGATGTATATTTATTTCAGACCATAACTTTCCAAGAATCAAGTGGGCCTCCTCCATCCCTATAGCTGTTCAAAACAGCTAGCTATATATGTATCAACATAAGCCAATTCAGCAAAGCCATGTGATCACCTTCTTGTGGGATCCCATTAATCTGCTTCTATAAATACCTGACTCCAAGTTTCTGAATTTTCAAGGTCTTGCTCTTGCATGTGCATATTCAAAATGCCTTCTAAATTAATATTCAGTGCTAAGCAAATTCTTAAAAGATCACACACTAATTTTCTGACAAGAAATCAATCGGCCAATGTCCCAAAAGGCCACATTGCAATATATGTTGGAGAATATCAGAAGAAACGTTTCATTGTTCCAATTTCATATATAAATCATCCTTTGTTTGTTGATTTGCTTAATCGTGCTGAAGAAGAGTTTGGATTCAATCATCCAATGGGTGGCCTCACGATTCCTTGTCAAGAACATGTATTCATTGATCTCACTTCTCGATTGCAAACCTCATGAAAAATTAATAATTTCAAAGATTTTTTATGGAGTTTTTTTTTTTTTTTTTCCTTTCTTTCATCCAATGGGTGGCCCTCACGATTCCCTTTCCAAGGAAACATGTATTCATTGGGATCTCACTTTCCCCTCCGAATTTTTGCAAAACCTCAAATGAAAAAAATTAAAAATAATTTTCAAAGATTTTATGGAGTTTTTTTTTTTTTTTTTTTTTTTTCCCTTTCTTTTCATGAATTCCCTAACTGGGAAGAGAAAGAAAAGGATTTGTAATCTTAATTATGCATAAGGGTTTTTTCACTGTTTTAAGTTCCAGAATAGAAGACAGGGAATAATGATAAATTTTAATAAGTCTTTTTTTTTTTTTTTTTTTTTCCCCTTTTGAGAGATCAAAAGGTTTTTTTTTTTTGTAGTGGGAGTAGTTAACCCCTGGAAAATTGGTAATATAAAACAGTAATCAAATGTATTTTTTTTATAATAATTATTTTAGTTAAAATGAAAAATTGTTTTTATTTAAATGTAAGGTATGAGAGACTTCAAATTTTGGTTAACCAATTAAACAACAACCAGGATTGGTGGTCACTGAAATTGATCCTTTTCACTTATGTGAAAGGAAAGTTGAGAAGTCCCTCGATTTTTTTTTTTTTTTTTTTTTCCTTTTGAGAGATCAAGGTTTTTTTTTGTAGTGAGTAGTACTGGAATGTAATATAACATAATCAAATGTATTTTTTATATATTATTTTAGTAATGAAATGTATTTAATGTAAGGTATGAACTTCAAATTTGTAACCATAACAACCAACCAGGTGGTGGTCTGATTGATCTTTTCACTTATGTGAGGAGTGAGAAGTCTCGAATTTAAATCCTCTCAATCACAATTGTTGTCACCAGTTGAGTGAGCCAAGGAGAGGGTTACCCATATAGTGTTATTTTGGTCCATAAAAGCCTTAATACATTAAAAAGCAAATTCATAACCATAACAAATTCAACTCCATAAAATGTAATCAATTATAATTATATATATATATATATATCACAAGTGTCCCTAATTCATCTTCAGACCCATAAGAAAATGGCTTCCAGCAAAAATTTTATCCATTCGCCTATAAGATTGCAAACTTTTTAAAATATAAACTATTTTTAAGTTCTCATTCACACCTGTAATCAAGATTGAATAATTTCTGGACGTGGAATTAGAATTTCATATACCAAAATATTTAAAGATGGAAGTTGACCACCATCTTTTTTTTCTTTTCTTTTTTTCTTTTTTTCAGGAAATTTGGACCATCATCCTTGCTAACCCTTTAGTTAATGATTAAAATGGTAAATTGCTACCAAAGGTAGTGCGGGTTAGATCAACAAAAGTGAATTACTTTCTGAAGTAAACATATCTAAAAATAGGGGGTGAAGATATTTTAGTAAAAAACGGACAAATTAAGCCGAATTGAATTAATTCGGTTATTTGGTTTTCAGTTTCGACTTTGATTTCTAACCTTATATAATTTCGGTTTAGATCTTGATATCAATTATAGTAAAAAAAAATTATTTTTTAAGCAAAATCGAACTGTTTAACTAGGTTCAATTCGATTTATGCAACTCGGTTTGAACAAAAACTCAAATTTGATTTTCTGTTTTTGTAGTTGAGTTCAATTAGAAAATCAAACTGCATGTTCGCACACCCTTACCTGAAAAATTAAGTCCCAAGTATACAAACACATGTTAAAAAAAAAAAAAAAGGATAAATTACTATACTACATGAGATCTAGCCCAATTAACAAGTGCATTCCTATTTTCTTTGCAATAAATTAAATGATCTTCGTATTTTATATATAAAATAAATAGTTCATTCATAAAAAATAGTCAGAATATTTCATTAAATAATGACAAAAGATAAATATCTCAAATATATATTTCACCATCTCTCTTGTTTTTTTTTCTGATAAAATTTTAACTTGGCCATTAACTCTTTTAGATTTTCATATTTAATTTTCACTTTAAAGTTGAAAATTATTTTGAAAATTTTAGAATAATTAAAAACATTTTTTATGTATAAATAACAAAATTTATTTAACTTTTCATTTTAATTAGTTTGAAAAATACAAGTTATCTTTTTAAAATAAAAAATTATATTATGAAAATATGTAATTTTTTCCAATGATAAATAAAAAATGAGTTCAATTTTATCCAAAAATAAATTTTTTCTTAACTATGTGATAAAATTAATTTTGAATCTAAATAGACAAATTAAAAATTAATTAATTTATATATTTTTTTTCTTATTATCAATAGCATTTTAGTATACGTATTAAAGCAAATTTTGACAAGCACATCAATTTATGTGTTTTGAAAGGGAGACTCTATCTTCTAAACACAAGCACATGCATGTGAATGACTATTTAATTTATTTCTTAAAAAAAGTGACCAAATTGTTAATTAAACTAATTAATTGAATTTCAAAGAGTAAATTAAATAGTAATATAATCCGACAGAATTTCTACAAAAGAATTAGGATTATATTATTATAAATATAATATTGTCAACTCCTGATCTACAACTACAAGCTTATTAGGTTGAGTAGTTTCTTGATGAAAACAAGGATGCATTTATATTATGGACACCATCATGTGTGAATTGGTTTTTCAAGGTGATTTTGTGTCGACTATGGCTATACATTGTTAAGGATGTGGTTTGTGTTCCCAAAGATACTGGTTTTGAGATCTTTGAAAATGGGTATTTAGGTTTCAATATAAGGCCCAATCATTGAAAAAAACTCCAATTTTACTCGTTGTTTTATTTATTTATTTTTTAAGTTTAACTTTCTAACCCCAAACTTTGCAGGTTGTTTTAATTCTTTTCTAAATTTAACTTTCTTCTTCAGGTACATTGAACTGGAATATTAATTACAATAGCACCCAAAATTTAAATTCTACTCGACTTAACGAGTAAAAATTACTTTTGTAGACCCACCAATCTCTCTCATGGTCAAATTAACATATCGAATAGGCTAACCCAAAACACATTGTTTCAAACTTCTCTCAACTCCATTGTGCAACTCTATCTCCAGTGTAGCTGATCGCATTTTCGATTATTGTCCGACAATAATCGTCTTCTCATTCTCCCAAATCGTAACCCTTGATCAATTTCACCATTTGAATGAATTTCCTGTGTGAAACGAAAAGAAGAAAATTTTGAGCCAAAAAATGGTGAGATAAAAATCGGTTTCCTTTCTCGTTGCTTTCTAGCATCAGTAAAAGTTTAAATCATCAAAAAACAATGTTCTCCTCTTAACCGTTATAGACGCGACCAAGGATTCCGGTGCAACCAAACATTTTTTTGCAAAGACATTCAATCATGTAGGTTTTAAAACATTCCTTTCTTCTTCGAGCTTATCTCTGTTGGGTATCAGCTCTGATACCACTTGTTAGGCATTAGCTCTGATAACAGTTTTTGGGCATCAGCTCTGATACCACTTATTGGGTCCTTTCAACCAATTAAGAGAAAATTAACGCAGCGGAAAAATAGACTTGTGACACACAGAAATTTTTTCAACCAATTAAGAAAGAAAATTAAACGCATCGAGCGGAAAAAATAGACTTGTGACACATCAGAAATTTACATGGCCTTCACCCTCACTGTTTAGGGCTACGTCCACGGGACAAACTCCGATACATTCTTTTCACACTATTAAAAAAAAAATATTAGTAGGTACACAAAGAGAAGTAATACATAAATTAGGGACACACAAAAGTGTTTACCAAAAACACCCCAAAAATAAATTTCCTTCATTATTTTCCCAAAAACACCCCAAAATAATTTCCTCATTATTTTTCTCTCCCCTAGTTTTAGGAAACCCTTCCTAAAACTAGACACACTCTCTCTACAATTTTTTTTTCTGCTGTGTGTTGTTGTTGAGGTGCATCTGCCTCTATTTATAGGCAGGTTACGAGAGAGCCGTGCATAATTCATTCACGGCTCTCCATTTTGTCAAAAGAATTGCCAACTTTTCTTTTTTTTTCAAATAACACGTTTTTCTCTCTTTTTTTTCTTTTCAAATTGCGTGGGTCCCACTTGAGTGGGCACCGACACAACAAATCTCCCCCTGCACACTCAAGTGGAGATGTTAGCCATCATCATCCCTGAAGCTAACCGACAGTATTCAAACTTCTCCTTTGAAAGAAACTTCATCAACATGACTAATCTATTTTCTTCTGTATGGATCTTCTCAAGCTGTAACAGCTTCATCGCTGGTAACAAGGACAGTATTCAAACTTCTCCTTTGAAAGAAACTTCATCAACATGACTAATCTATTTTCTTCTGTATGGATCTTCTCAAGCTGTAACAGCTTCATCTCCAACACATCCTTGATCTAGTGATAGAATGGAAGGAGGAATTCTTTCCAAGGTGAATTGTGCTTTGACTGTCACAAAATATTTGATATCATTCTTGATGAATTCTGAGTTCATTCAAGAATTTCTTCATCCACAGCAACTCCTTATACGCTTCAGTAATCTTGACTGCCACGACACGGCTCCCCCTGCAAATGTGATTGGATATCCTGAAAGTCCATTTCATTGCAGTCCAATGTTCCTTTCTAGGATTTGAAAGAAACCGACTCACTCCTCCAACTGAGTGAGCAATATCTGGCCGTGTACAAACCATGACATACATCAAGCTTCCAACTGCTGAAGCGTATGGAATTTTTTTTCATTTCTTCCTTCTCTCCATCCGTAGAAGGGTACTATTTAGAACTCAATTTAACGTGATTAGTAAGAGGACAACTAACCGCTTTAGCATTTTCCATTCTAAACATTTGAAGTACTTTCTCAGCGTTCTTCTCCTGTGACAACCATAATTTCTTGGTTCTTCGATTCCTTGTAATCTTCATGCCAAGAATTTGCTTTGCTGGTCCCAAGTTTTTCATAGCAAAAGACTTACTTAGCTGTTTCTTCAAGCTATTAATTCTGATAGAATTCTGACCAACAATCAACATATTAACCACATAGAG